GTCGAAATCCATTTCTGAATCACTTTCCTCAACGCCACTCTCAGAATTATCGGTAAAACAATCTGATTCTGAGTCATATATGAGTTGAAAAATGTCTGAATCTTCCAAACGAAACGACGCCATGGTGAGCTGACAATATCACTGTTCTCGCTGCGTAACTTTGAAGCTCTATGACACTGCTTGGCTGTACTTGGCCTTGAGAGTTGTGATAAACTAACCGAGCCTGGTCAGTACAGAGAAATTGTTGAGTATAAACAATCAGCGTTCTTATAAACGGAGATATACAGGCCCACATCTCTGCATACCAAAGAAGGTACGTGTATATGCTTCGAGACATGCGAGACTAAACATAATCATCTTCATAACCATCCGCTGTGTTGCCACGTCTGCATAGAGCGTTCTTGCTTCCAAGAACTATATGAATTCTTGTAGGCTGATGACAAATTTGGGAATTTTATACTTGGAGTCAGTCTAAAAAGTTTTACACATTTTATAAAGTCTCTAAATTACAATATCTGATTCTGTATTCTTTCTAGAAAAAAACAGCGTTTATTTGGTTTGTTTATCACAAAAATTGTAGAAATCACAGCAATTTTAGAAAATGATTACAGTTTTTATTGCTTTAATATTGCGGGTATTTAAATCAGATCTGTCCCACTGCCGGTACCGGAATTTAAAGGGCCGTCACTTAAAGGTTAAATACTTTCATCCATAAGATGAAGTTATGATGAGTTAAGATTTAAGTGTACAATTAGTGATCTATTTTTGTGCAAAAGATCCATTAACCCTTTCCAGTCAAATTTAGTACCACTCTTGACTGTCTGCTGGCCCATTTAAATGCCACTACTGTCAACTACTGTTATGAGTTTTACTGAATTTCAGTAACCTCAAAGAAATCCATGACACACCAAGTGAGCCATGGGACCAGAAGAGATGTCACACCCAGTGGATTGAAAGGGTTAATACAGTTTGCTATTTACATCTGCATGTCATACCACAGATCACCTGAAACAGATAAAACATGCGTGTGTTTTCTCTTCCCTCCACACACACACGCATTCATGCGCACAAATTTTATACCAATGTTTATAAGGAGTATCTATTGATCTTTACAAGGTGAAACCAAACTTTTGTGTGCATCTAAGGGGTGTGCTATGCACTTAATGGATATTGTTAGGCTCAAATACAAAATCTAGTACTCTACCCATGGTTCAGAGTGTTATGCAGTATGGTGGGGGTTAATTTGATATTTGAGCAACAAAAATTAATTTTTGAAGAGGTGCTGGAAATTTGAGAATGTACATGAGATGCAAAGACAATGGACACATGAATTTGTAACTGGGCCTCCAGTATGGCTAACAATTTCAAGAATTTATGGTAAATTTGGGACTGATGGTGGTGTGCAAGATGTGTTGTATAAACAGCAGGCTGACAAAGTTGTCCACTTTCTCTTCCCCCCCCTTTTTGTCTTCTTTTATTGCTATAACACTAGAGCAGAATTTTCCCTACTCTTGAGATGGGAAATCTGCCAGATCATAGCTTGTACAGATCTTACATGCTACAGTCGGTCTCAAATTTTTCACAGATTCTTGAAATTGTTAGTCATGGTGGAAGCTCAGCTGCAGATTCATGTTTGCACAATCATTTCACTTGACAGACATTCTCAAATTTCCAGTAGCACTTAAAAGTGAATTTACATTGTTTGAATGTGTGAAACCAACCTCTGGTATTCTGTATTATGCTCTGAATCATGGCTAAGGTATTAGGGCTTTTAATTATAACTCACCGTCTGTTAAGTAAATGTCACACTGCTTAGAGGCACATTATGTTTGGTTCCACTGTAAATATATGAATGTATGAAAATGTGTATAGAATTTTCTGAGACTCTGTGTGCATACACACGGACGCTCAGCATATCAGTAATAAACTTAAGTTAGTCATGAAATTTGAGTGATGGTTTCTGCTCCCTTATTCCTGGACTTATATTCATTGACTTTTATTTTGATAGCGTTCTTACAGTGTAATATTGTTTTCCATTTACTGTGTATGTAAAATGTGAATAGGGGAGCCCAGCTCATGCTGAATGCACCACACACTCCAGTAGAGAAGAGTGGTGGTCCACCAACTAGAGATCTGTTTGATACTTTAACATCGCCTGCTCAGTTCCACACTCCAACTAGTAGCCATGAATCATCCTTCCAATATATGTAAGTATTTATCTTCCTTCATTATGTAAAAATGTAAGGAAAAACAAAACGATTAATTTAACTGTTGTTACAATGAAGGTCTGAATATTGTTAAAATTTATTAATTGCAGTGAAGATTTATTTTATATAATACACTGAAATTTTCTTGCAGTTAGTAGACTAGGTAGGATATGGATCTATAGGACAACAGTTATATTATTTAATTATCTTGAAAATCATTATTGTGGCATGTTAGGTTCCTTTTGTTTACTTGTCCCAAAAGTTGTAAGACTTAATGAAAAATTGTATTCATCTTTCCTATAGAATTTGTTCCACTGATTTTTCACTGTGATAAACATTTAACAAGTTAGATGCAAATTAAACATGTGATAGGTGCAGAAGTGCATGTAGGTCTTCATATAGTATCCATTATTATTCATTTTTAAGGGAAATTAGAATAGATTTGCATTTTTTTTAATTCACAAATATCAGATTTCTTGCAAGTCCATTGATTGCTTCTTAAGTTGTCTTTTATGTACAGATGGACAAAGATTTTTATTAGGTGCTCTTCAGAGCTCCAGACATTCCTAAAAAGGGAGACCAAGAACTTCTATTGGTTACCAAATTGGACATTAGTGAAATACAGTCAGACTGTGTGCTACCATATGAAATATGTGTAGTCACTTTCACTTCCTGGCGCTACCAGACTTTCTGAGAAGATGTAGGTCTGGAACGGGGTCCACTCAGCCTTGTGAGAATAATTGAGGAGCTACTTCAAGGAAATAGTAGCTCCAGTGTACAAAACTGAAATAACAGCCGTGGGGGATTCATTGCGCTGACGACATGACACCCTGTATCCACTAAAGTTAGCACTAAGTTCGCCGACAAGCGGCAGTTGCTCGGTAGGTGTAGTTCACTTGTGGACGTAAGCCATGGGGTTTGTATTATTAGGATCACCAAATCAGAGTGGAGTGACAGGTATGCAGGATATGTAATGCACATGGAAGAGATATGGGAGGGAGGATATGTACTGGATTCATCTGGCTCAGGATAGGAATCAGTGGTAAACTCTTGTGAACTCAGAAATTAACCTTTGGATTTCATAAAAAATGGGGAATTTATCAACTAGCTGAGTGCTAGCTCAAGAAGGACTGCTGTATGGAGTTAGACAGTGTTTGCAAAGGTGTGGAGCCATCTGCAGGTCATTTCACGTTTAATTAATGGTTATGAAAAGAATTTTCTCTTTTTCAGAAATAGCCTGCCTGAAGCATCACACTGTGGAATAGATGAGGCTCGCAACACGTGGGTGACTATATTTGGTTTCCCTCCTTCAGCAGCTGCGTTTATTCTGACTCAGTTTTCCCACTATGGCAGCATATTGGAGAAAAATATACCAGCTAAAGGAAACTGGATGCATGTTCGCTACCAAACAAAGCTTGAATGTCGGAAAGCTCTTAGTAACAATGGAAAAGTGTTTGGTGGAACAATCATGATAGGAGTGATGTTATGTAAAGATCAGGTAATGAGAATAATCTGAATTAGAAGTTTGTATACATGAGTGCATGAAACTAGTTAATCCTTGGGTGTTTTCAAAAGCTGGTGATGTTTTTATACTAGTGTGTGTGTGTGTGTGTGAGTGTGAGGGGGGGGTGGGTGTGTGAAGATTTATCTACCTACCACTTTCCGCTACAGCCCTGGGTGAGCCTTGGCCTCCTCTGCAACTAGTCTCCACTGCTCTGTATTCCTCATCTTCTCTTTCCATCCTTTCATCTTCATCTTCTTCAGGTCTTTCTCAACATCGTCTAACAATCTCATCCTNTGAATTCAGGGGTGTCCAAAACGTATGAATTCTCGCAGAGAAGGAAAAAAATTGGCAAATTTCTTTTTGGAGTCAGTGCAAAAATTTTAACATGTTTTATACAATCTGTAAATTACAATATCTGATTCTATATTCTTTCGAGAAAAAAACAGCGTTTATTTCGTTCGATTATCACAGAAATAGCAAAAATAGGAGCAAAATTAGTAAGTGACTACAATTTTAACGAATCTCAAATAGCGGCCCTTTAAAGAAATCCGTACCGCTGCCACAACCTAAGTTTAAAGGGCCGTAGGATAAAGGTTAATGCTTTGTATACCTGTGGTTTAGCTTTTCCTGATATTATTCTACTTTTAAGTGTACTAAGATTTGCAAAGTAGGCCGTTTCCACCTTGTATCCTTTCCTTAACACAATGACTATTTTTATTGCCATTATTGATCATAATTTCTAAATATTTAAAATTACCCACTGCTGTAAGTAATTTCTCTTCTACCTTTAAATCTTGTTGTTTCCTTCTACTTTCCAATGTTGACATAATGATATATTTTGTTTTTCTTTCATTTACCTCTAATCCTATCTTCCCTGCTTTTTCTTCCATATTCTTGTCTATCGCGATTATCTTTCTCTGGATCTATATGTTATGACGATGTCATCCGTATATGCACATATTTGGCTTGGTTTTGTATAAATTGTTCCTCTCTGATCAGTACCGTTTACTACACTGTGTAATGCCACTATGAAAAGTCTGCTGATAAACCATCCCTTTTGTTGATTCCAGCATTAAATTCAAATTTTGCACTTAGTTTATTATCTGTTTTAACTTTTGCTTGTGTAATATTCGAGTTAGCCTAATTAACCCTTTTGCGCGGTCATTTAAATTCCGCTGCCGTGTCTCTCCGGCGGTAATATATTCAGCCGACCATTTAAATTTTGCTTGAAAATGATTTATTCATAATTGTTCTTAAATTATATGAGATAGGAATATGAAACTTTCACTAAAATGATCTTAAAAGGTGGTTTTATAACCTTACCTTATAACATGAGCGCGCGGTATCTCGGCAATGGAAGCAGTTGGTTTAGAATTTGAGCAGTGTATCGTATGCCTTGAAGCATGAAACTTTCCCTAAAATGATCTTAAAAGATGGTTTTATCACCTTGCCATATGAGCAC